GGAAGATGATGATGATAGCTGACATTTTGGGGCACTTATATGTGCCAGGCAGTTCTAAGTTTTTTCTATGCAACAAAGCATTTAACACAACAAGTCTTTGAGTTAGGTACTACTTTGTCCTGTTTTACGGATGAGCAGCTGAGATTCAAGTTGGAAGCTAAGACACAGATTAGATTATTACATATCTAAGTGGTAGAGATCTGGTTTGAATACTCAGATTTTCAGAGCCTTGCTTCTGGCTAGATGTGAAGAAAAATCTCTCCTCTTTAGAATTTTTAGATAGCGAGCAAAATGTCTTATTTCCAACAAATGTCTAAAAGCTAAAATTGTGAAGTTAACTATAAACAAGGGTTTGTTAATATAATTAGAAATAAATGCAAATGCTCAAATGATTCAGCATGGTTCATTTTGTTGTGTTGAATTGGGGTACTTGAGGTCTTGCAGGATTATACCAGGTAAGGCAACATTACAGATTACTCACAGCAATAAAGAAGTTCCATATATGTGCTTATTTAAATTTAAAAAGTGAAAATAAGTGTATTTGATGCATTTCCTAGTTTAATAAATATACTATTAAAGGTATAAGTTTAAAAATATACTTCAAGGACCTCTCTAAGTATTCTAATATAAATAAAGTATATGTTAAGCATGCAGAATGTAAGTTAAACTATTCCTCTTCTTTAAAATCTCTATGTATGCTGATCTGTGTGTTTGTCTGATGTTCATTAATGGTGCTTGTGTTTAAATGATGCCAGTTGTTTAGGTGTGAGATTTGATGGTGCCCTGAGTGCCTCTTTCTCCTTAGTTCTTTTATAGACACCTGGTTGCAAAATGCCCAGTTGGTGTGTGAATTAAGTATTGTAAAATTTCTCAACTCAGGGCTCAAAACTTCTGAAATAGACATACCTTCTGGTATATTTCATACATTTGCCATCCACCTCATATGCTTCAGGACTTATTTAATAGAATGATCAGGACAATGATAACAAGGGTTCTCATTACCAGCATGTGGTCACTCCTGATGCTTGGCCTTTGCTTTCCTGGCATCTCTAGGGAACAAAGGCAGTGGTCGTGAGCCAGGTGTGAAGACTTAGCAGCCTTCTCATATGCTTGTACAGGCAGCACTGGCTCACCGGAATGAAAATGAAAATAGCCTTATATAGTTGATACTGCTAACTAATAATTCTAATAGGCAGTTTTTTCCCCACTATGTATTAACAGTATTTGTAAGTATGACATTATTAAATGAGGTGAAAATATGAATAAGAACCTGTCATAAAATAAAGTATGAAATACTTTCTGTAAAATCAAAGATCTGAGTACACCTCTTGATTTCTTTGCTTACTATCCCCTTACCCAACTTATAGGAAAATCCTTTGAGCTGTCTTTGCTCATTCATTACTTAGCCTAGGCCAATTAAGGCTAATTTTATACTTTTGATCTCCCCATACAACATTGATGCCTCAAACATACATTAACCCTGGATAGACCAGTTGGCATGGCCATAATATCATATCTAAACTTCCTTGATTCTTGGGAGAAGAAGGGAATTCAAGAAAAAAGAATCCTGTTTATCCATGTGTTATATTAAGCTATCCTAGAAGTCAGATTGAAGGTAAAAAAAGGTTTTTTTCATGTTGAGGCTCAGTTGCATTCTTAGTCCCATAGGTGACTTCCCTTCGCAAATGTCAAGTCCAGAGTACCTGTGTACTCAGTGGGAGCAACACGTGCAAAATGACCATTACCCCTAATCACAGCAAGTGGTTTTCAATCATCAGTAAAAACAACCACAAAACAATAATTGTCATTATTTATTGAGCTCTGTTGTACACTTAATAAAATTAAACTCTTGATCTGTCTGCTAATGATACTACAATCTGTAAATGATACCACAATCCTCCCTGGTGATTATACTGGATACCTGAATGTGATCTTTCACAATTCTTTCTATCTGGTCTCCCATATCCAACCAATTACCAAGTCTGCTCCTTACCACGACCCCGTAGAGCAGTCAGTATCATCTTATGAAAATATAAAGCTGATTGTGTTACCTGCACTTAAACCCTTCAGTAGCTTTCTCTTCTGTTAGTTAAGAAACAAACTCTTTCCTTGGTATAGAAGATCTGGTCCTGACTCTGATTAAACCTCAGCCTCCCTCTTACTACTCCTGTTTTAATCACTGTATTCTTTTCTCTGATCTTATTCACCAAGTTTTTCTCATCATTGGACTACTGTATAAATGGTTGTTTCTACCTGGGACTCTGCCCAACTCTTCTTTGCCCCCAACCTAGCTCCTACTTCATATCTTTTTTATTGTTTAAAGTATTACAAATAGTAGTACATATGACTCCTTTTTCCCCATTGACCTCCTCCTGGACTCCCCTACCCCTCAGCACATGCCCTCACCCCCTTCCAGTGTCTGTGTCCATTGGTTATGCTTATATGCATGCATACAAGTCCTTCGGTTGATCTCT